GTTTAGACTCAGGTCTCTTAAATTCTAAAACAGACTAAGCCTTCCTTCATGTTCTAATGTGATATAATCATACTTTAACATGTAGCATTTCTAGCTACCAACGAGCGCGATACTTCTATTGTTCGCTTTGATTTTAATCGTTTGGTTTAAGTCGGACGCTATATCAAACTTGGTTCTCTGAACCACGTAACTTACTCATCGTAGTCGGACTCAATGTGATATGACCACTAGGGTCGGGATAACAACATTCTTCTTAGTCATTACCGAAACAATGGTAACCACATACTTGAATAAAACGAAATCAATTACTGGCTTCTTGGTAACCTTGTGACTTTCCCTGATCCAAGTGTGAGTCCTGTGCTTCCGGTAGTATAGGCCTCTATTACCATTCACACCTACTCATACTCGTCCCAAGTATTGTCCTGCAGTTTCCTAAGTCACCATGCAGCAAATCACACAATCATTCAACACATCAGATAACAAAATGAAGGTTTTATTTTATTACTTGAAACGATTACATGGGTGTTCAAGTTCACCCTAGATTATGCCTCTAATAGGCTACATCATGTGACACTATCTATATGGCTTCTTCATAACTCGATCTCTATATATCCATCCTTACTCCTGATTCCTTGCATCGTCAGCTGCTTCATCAAGGATCATTTGAAATGCTCTTGCCTTTGGTTTTGGCAGCACATTTGGCTTTGTAGCCCCTTCTCTCTTTGGGAAATCTTGCTTGAAGTGCCCTTCCTCGTTACATTCGTAACACACCCTTTTGTTGAATTTACACTCGTTGGCATAATGCCCATGCTTCCCACACTTGAAACAAGTCACCTCCTCACCGCATTTTCCAGAGTGTTTCTTTTTGCACTTCTCGCACCATCTTTCTTCACTCCCCCCTCCTCTAAACTTCCTTGTACTGGACCTGCTTTTCTCATCGGGCTTTGCAGACCCCTCAAACTTTCTCTTTTCGCCAACCTCGGTCTTGTTGGCGGCTCTTCCCTTGATCATCTCCTCAACCGACTTGGCAGCCCAGATAGCTGCCTCCAAAGTAGGTGCCTGACGCACTGGCACCGCATACTCCCATGGAAGTCCTTTGGCATACTTGTCAACTTTCGTCAGCTCATCCGGAACAAGGCGTAATGCGAACTCCATCTTCTCTGTGAAGTTGTTGGTGTATTCATCAACAGACATGCTTCCTTTCTTCAAGGTAAGGAATTGGTTTTCTAGCTCGAGCAGATTTTGGGCTGAGCAGTACCTACGTTTGAATTGCACCAGAAATTCTGCCCATGTCAGTTGCAGTGGCTCATTGGGGCTCAGAGTCTTCCCCAAGGTATTCCACCAACGTACAACGCCTCCTCGAAACTGACGCACTGCAAATGTGGTCTGTTGTTTTCCATAGTAACCGCACGTCATGAAAGCTAATTCCATCTCCGAGATCCAATCCATGACCCCGATCGGATCCTCCTTTCCAGTGAAAGTCGATGGCTTGCAAGTCAGAAAATCCTTGTACTTGCATCCATTCCTCTCGACTTCGTCATCGTGGTTGTTTTGTCGAACTATTGGTGGGTCGACTTGACCAACAGTCCCGCTGTAATTCTCCTCCTTAGTCTGCCCTTCATTCAACTCGGGCCGTTCGATCTGAATAGTCGCTTCCTCTCGATTTTGCTAGAGCAAACGTCTGGTTTCCTCCATTTGACGATCCAACATCGCTTGGATCATCGCTTGCACTCCGGCCATTGTGACTGGCTCAGCGGCGGCTTCCATCACCGGTAGTTGCTCAATCACCGGGGGTTGGTTTCTGTTCCCATTTGCCTTCACGTTTCCGCTACGGGTTCTTGCCATCTTGATCTATACACCGAATAAGGTGAATCTAGATCTTTACTTAGGATTGATGGTTAAATCATCCTTATTGCTCCGAAACGTTTATATGCTAGTTCTAATATCGTAGTCGTACGTTTAGAATCCTAAACACATAAGGTTTCCAGATCCAGTCGGCAACAGACCATAGATCCGAACAAATAATAGCATGCCAGGCACAAAGCATTTAGCACATAAAAGCATTTTAGGCAAAATCCCTAAAATAATCTAGTGCTCACGCCTCACAATCATCACTTAGCATTCTAAGTTTAAGTCTAAAAATAAATCCATATTCCTAGTTCGCTTAAACTAATGCTCTGATACCAACTGTGACATCCCCATTTTCACGGCCAGAAAAGACCGATTTTGTTTATGCTTTATAAAAATCAGAGTACTTTTCATAAAAATGTTGCGGAATTTGTTCCCAGAAAAACATGATAAATATGTTATTAAAACATTTTCGAAGAAACGTATTTTATTCATTTCAAAACGTTTGGGATGTCATCGTTAATACAGAAACATAAGCATAAATAGAACTTACATTTATATACACTAGTGATCTACATCTCTTTAAATCTCTCATTTTAAAGTGACTTCGTATCAACACCTGTGATATAAATAAACTGAGTGGGTTAGGTTGGGAAACCTGGTGAGTACATAGAGTTCTCAACCCACAATAATATAATCATTATGTTTAAATAATCAAACAATCAACCCAATTACCCACCCCATTATCTTCTTTATTCTTAAGGGTCTACCCTAAGAATCAGCTATTTCTCATTCATTCATTCCTAAGGATCATCCTAAGGAAACATCATGAAGTCCATTGTTGCCAATGACACATTGGCCAAGCGCAGGTGCTAATCTTGTCACTTAGGCGCAACTGCCAGAATTGGGACATTTTCTATGAGGCGCTTCTGCCGATATTGACCTTTAAACGCTACTGTCATGGTCATAAGGCTCCTTATTAGGCGCAGCTGCCGATACTGTCCTTAGAGCGCAGCTGCTAGGACGTTTACCGTAGATCTGAAACATCTACGGATTGTGGCGCAGCTGCCAGTGCTCATCTATAGGGTACTAGGTCCACTGCTGCCAATGTATACCTATAGGGCACTAGGTCCATGCTACTAATGTTCCTCTATTTCAGCTTTTATCCCTCATCATTCATCTACCCATGTTTTACCCAACATATTTTGTAGATATAAAATACTTTATACAGTTTACAGCATTTAAAACATGTATAAAAAGTTTTCACCAGCATAGACAGCAAGTATTCAGACAATATGCGTACATAGCACGTAATTTATAATAAAATACTTCATATCTATGTGTAAGATGAAAGGGACCATGCACTCACTTGATTAGGTGGTGACTCAGCACTTAGACAGCGCTTCGATACTCTCAAAATGATATTCCTTCGATAAAACCTAGTATCGATACCACCAGGGTTTAGTTTAATGATAACCGCGACAAATTAATTAGTCCGAGTATTTTTAAGCGTTAATTATACTTGATATATCTCATAATAATAGCCCAAATAATTATTTTAAGGACCTAATAACATTCCTATAATTATTTGAAAGCTATATTAAAAATTGCGTAAGTGTAGCATACTTACAGCGAATTTTATCGAAAACCGGAACTTAATTGGAGCAGCGTTTCGAAACCGAAAAACTCCTTTTTCTCGGGACTCCGGGAGCCTCGGGGCTTCCCTAGGGTGCTAGGGGTTTAACTAGGGCTTAGGGGTGGTTTAGGGGAGCTAGAGAGAGAAACTAGTGAGAGAAAGAAGGTGGAAATGAGTGAGAAATCCGGAACACCTCGCATGGCTTTTATAGGCGCCTGACTTCGGACTACGCTGGGCGTAGCCTTCGGTTACGCTGGGCGTAACTCCGGATAGGGTTGCCAGCTCGCACCAGCTGGCTCGCACTTTGGACTTGGACGGATAAGAACCGAGGTACGCTGGGCGTACCAAACTCGGACGCGGGGCTTAAAGTGAAGGGTGACGCGTCGGTCATCGGATGTGAGACCGTGGGGAGCAAGGGAAGGCTAGGATCTTGCCACGTCATCACCAGCTTCGCAAATTGCACTCTCAACTTCTAAAAATCGTAACTTTCACATACGAGCTCCGTTTTTGACGTTCTTTATATCCACGCGTAGGTGGGAACGTACTCTACAACTTTCGTTTAGGATCTGTCAGCTAATTTTGGCTCGATTTTAAATTTTATATTATCAACGGGCCGGAACACGATTGCTCCGTTAAATCCTCATAACTTCTTCATCCGACATCCGTTTTCGCCCATATTTTTCTCGTTACGCTAGTCTCAACGAGATCTTCGATTCTCGTTTAGGTTGTGTCGGCTTAAAATCACTCGATCTAATATTCGAATTTCGGGCTCTACACTGTTATTTCGAAACTTCGAAAAATCATAACTTCTTCATACGAAGTCAGATTTGGGCGTTCTTTTTATCGATTATCTTAGTTTAACATATTCTACGAGTTTCGTTTAGATCGCTAAGGCTAAATCTCGCTCTATCGTAAATTCACTATTTACGCTTCCCGGTGTCGTGTCGGTTGTGTCGCGAAACTTCGACGGGCCATAACTTCTTCGTTATAACTCGGATTTCGGCGTTCTTTATATGTACGGAAACCTTGTGACATATTCTACAACTTGGTTAAGATTATTTATTCTAAATAATCTTTTGTCGAAAAGTCATTTTCGACCCCTATTACCTCTAAATTGACTAGCCCGGATCTACGGGCGTTACAGAAATCTACCCGATACTGTTGTTAAACGGGGCTTTTGGTCGCACCCGATTTAGTGGTCGTATTACGACTTGGTTGAAACTAAAATTTTTCAAAGGAAAAATATGGGGTGTTTCTAATTTATTTCAACCTTCATAAAGTCATTCAAAAGTCCCCATTAAATTAACCAGTCCAAAAGTTAACGGACAGTTAAATAAAACGAGGCTTATTAACGGAAGAAGGGGTTAAAAATGACGGAATAAATTTCGCGTTGTCACAGGTTGACACCCCCAAATTCTAACTAAAAGCAGCTTCCAAACATACAAAATGTCAATCATTACTGACTTTCTAGTCTGCCTTTACAAAAACATACAATAGCTTACACCAACCCCCCTAACTAACTATAGTCACTACCTAACTTCAAAACATAAAAGACCAAGCCATTAAACAGCAATGTAACTATCATCATGTACCTGCCTATTGCCTTCCTTAAATCAGAAATATCTTTCTCACTCTTTGTCACCTTACACTTCTCCTGTGACATCAGGAACTCCACTTCAACAATCTTTATCCTCAAATTTTTCATCTCAAACAGATCCTCTTTAGCATCTAGTTTCTGCTTCAGAGAATATAGAATGTTTTTGCAATACCCTTCTTCATGTTCAGCGTCTTTCCATTCAAAGAAGTTACATTTCTTCAACCTAGTATGCAAATAGCCAATCTATAAAAAAAATCAAAATGCTTTGAATTAGATAGTAAATAAAGATTAAGTAAATCAGTCGCCTTTAATGTACTAATGAAATGAGTTTGATTCACGATCACAAATATTCCTCAATAAGAAAATAAATTTAGGGTTTTTTCTTCAAAATACAAATCTAGCATGATTGGCTTTACACGAAGAAACACCACAGTCAAACCCTAAAATACGAAGGTAGTATGATCAGGATTATCAGGACCTACCAAACTGTTTTGACAATTCCAAAAACGCCTCCCAGGGTTTGTTATCTTCCAACACGCATGTTCTTTAGTTGGAACGTCACAATCACAAAGCTTTACCCCTTCTCGCACTTGAGCACAAGTCATTTGTAGCTGATTCCTTGAAGTGGATGAGCTCGAAGACATTGTTCTTGAGGATGACAAGAGCCAGTGGAAAGGATTTGATTTTTCAAAAAAGGATAAGAAACATTTGAATAATGGTCCGATTCAAGGTTTCAATTAATAAGGGTTGTTGGACGAGTCAACTTTTTCGACATATCAGTATCTCACGTAAGCTTATTGGACACATCACCCTGACACATAAGCATTGAAACCAGTAAACCGTCTAATTTTTTGGATAATAGTTTAATTAAAAGATAAAAATGAAGTTTAGTTGTCTAATATACCAAAAAAAACTTTAATAACCAAATTTATCAAATATCAAAACTTTTATCAGCTTCAGTGTCATTTTGCCCTAAAAAAAACTTATATGACATGTCTTTAGCATGCGCATCACTCCCAATAGCCTTAGGCTCTGTTTGATACGCATCTTTCCAGGTTCAATCAGATCTTTCTGGCTAAATGGATCGGAAATACTGTTTGATTTGCACAAAAGAAGGGGTCTTTCCCGGTAAGATATGTTTTTCCCAAAAAGCCCCAAAATCATATCTTTCTGGTTAAATGGGCTTGAAAAACAATTATACACTAAACCCCGCATCTTTCTTTCTTTATTGGATTATTAATTTTTTAAATAACCTTTTTAAAATTTATTTTTTTATTAAATTATTACCTTTTTTTTTTCTCACAATCAATTAGATATAGTCAATTAGATATATGATCAAAAATATTTCTTTCCTTGGTCACAAAACTTTCCCTGCACTCTACCGGACAGGACATTCACGAGAAACTATGAACACGGACCTTACTATCACCTCTCCTATCTGCTCCTCACGTCACCCCCTGCTCGCCGTCGCCTCCCCCACCGGCCGGAGACCTTTGATAGCCACAACTCCGTCACACCGAACGCCAGGTTCCATTTCCTTCCATTTTTTGCCTGCTTTCTATGTACTTAGTTGCCACTTGATGTTGTTCGTCGACTTCTTTTTATCCAAAAGGTTTTCTTTTCCCGTGATTTCCTTCTTCACATACGAAATTTCTGTAGTGTTTTTATAATATCAATCGGCAAGTTCAAGTTCTTCTCTGGAATTCTTTTAGGTCATTTCTTACTTTTACTGATAATTGATTTGCTACTTGTTTCCTGCTACTGATTTGCCAATTGTGTTTGCTGTTCAAATGTATGAAGTCTGATGTGCACAGTGTTCTGTAAAAAAACGGAATGCGTTTGCAGGCAAACTGTTTGATGAATGCCTGAGAGGGATAGTACTTTATTAATATCCATGTTTTCATACGATGCTTATATGTAAAAGGAAGCCCCTTTTGGTCATTTTGCTAATCATTCCTTCTCTTTTCTATCTTGAATAGCTGTGTGTTAAGCGATAATGGAGAAAGGATCAAAGGGTCAGAGCAGTAACAAGAAAACCCTTCAGAAATCACTATCAACTTTTTCAGACTCTGACATGGATGACGAAATTGATCTTTGTAAGTTTATCAATCTTTCTCTCAACCAGTATGTATGTGTGCATTGCATTTTCAATTCCATTTATGAGTCTTTTGTACTTTTATTTCAGTTCATAAGCAGAGAGATATAGTTCCATTAGACCTAAATGATGATGAAGATGATGAGGATGATATATTAGCTGCATAAAGTAAGATTAATCGACCGATTTTAGTTTTGAATGTCTCATACTTCTTTCTAATTTTGTTTTCTTAAATCCGAAGGGCATTCAGATCTTGATCACCGTGTTCTTGCTCGCCTTGTGGAGATTAAGAACTTGTTAGACAAGGCTAGTGTGTAAAAATTACCATTCTACCCCTTGTGTATATTCATAAAAATAACAAGTCTAGTCTATTTCCCTATAATTGCAGATGAAACCACTTGATGAAAATCTATCATTTGAGGTTAAAGATTATCTCAAAACACATGTTTCTAATTCCACAACAATAAATGAGATGATGATTTACCAAAGAGAGATGACATTGGAGAAAGGCGAAGAAAGCATGAAACACGGGTTCTTGCTAGTGCTGGAATCCATTCTGATTATGATATGAAAAATGACGAAAATACCCTTGAGGCTAATGGAGTTGATGATGACTCAAATGAAGATGGTGAAACAGAGACAGAATCAGAGACTGATCTTTACAAAGAAACCAAAACAAAACGTGATGCTAAATTAGCTGCTAAAGCACAAAAGTATACTAGGTATACTATTCATTTGTTAATATACGAAAGTCCAGGGACCAAACATGCCAATATACAAAAGTCTTCTGATGAAAGTTTGAAACCCAAAAATTATAGGGACCAAACGTGCTAATATACAAAATTGTTGTGGCTAAAATATGAAAGCTAAAAGTATACTATTCATTTGTTAATATACGAAATTCCTAAGACCAAACATACCAATATACAAAAGTCTTCAAGTGAAAGTTTGAAACCCAAAATTTATAGGGACCAAACCTGACAATATACAAAATTGCTGTGGCCAAAGTTTTAAAACGAAAAGTATACTAATTTTGTGCAGTTGAAACACAAGAAAGAAGTTACTAGAAAAGGGCAAGTACGTGGACAGAGGAAGCCAACAGGTCCATACGGTGGTGAAGGGTCTGGTATTAATAATAAAGTAAATTACACGAATAGTCCCTATGTTTTATAGTAATTTACATGTTTAGTCCCTAACTTATTTTTTTAACTCGGAAGGTCTTTACTTTTTGCTTTTATTACGCGCTTGGTCCCTTACTTACCTAAAAAGATTATTTTACCATTGATTTTTTGATTTATTTAAATAAATACACTCCCAATCTCACACTCTTTACCTTATCTTACATACCTCATCATTTTTACCTATTTAAATAAAAGTCTTTTTAGTTAAGGTAGGGACCAAACGTGTAACAAAAACAAACAGTATGGACCAAGTGTGTAACAAAAATAAACAGTAGTAACCTTCCGAATTAAAAAAATAAGTTAGGGACCAAACGTGCAAATTACTCAAACCATAAGGATCATTCGTGTAATTTACTCTTAATAATACTCTCACCTGAAGTATCAGATTCAAGAGTTGAACATTTATTTTTATACTTTAATATAAGTTGATGTGATGAAAATGAAATTACCATAAATTTTGTTAGATGTATTTTTAAATTATTAAAACTTGTTAGATTGAAATCGTGAAAGTATTTTTAAGTAACGTTATTGATGAATTTTCATTGGTTGATGTGAGTGTGATGGAATCATAATCTTAAATGATAATTAAAGTGATTATAATAAATCAGAAACACAATGTGGGCTCCATAATCAAAATCCGGATAGCATGTCTCAAATGTTTAATGGTCTGATATTCATGTAACGCCAACCATTAATTGGATTTCTCAAATATACCATATTATATCGCATAATGAACACGCAAACATGTGTGTTATTAATTTGTTTCGACTTCTATCAACTTCTTATGTAAAACATGAAAATTCTTTCCGAAGTGTGTCCTAATATAAGATGCAATAATCATCTTAGCCGTTTTGAAACGTCACTAATAAAAGTGTTTCCATCGATAAAGTACAAATTGTTTCGAGCCTATGTAACTTCAAATTTCACCAATTGCTCTTCACTTATCTTCATAACATCAAAATCTAGTATTGACTTGCACCCAATGCTAGCTTATTATCCAAGTCCGAGGAGATATAATGATTTGGGCATAGAAAATATGTAATCTCATGTCGGGATGAAACATTAGATAGGTTGATAGAGCTTGACCCTAACCTTATCCTTTTAACTATCGTGTCGTGACATGGCGGAGGCTCATGGAGGCAAGGAGGGGCCATAGCCCCCTGCATTAGTTTCTAATCCCTTTACATATGTTTATTTATTAATTCTTCCTAATAAATAAATTTTTTTTTTACCACTTGTCAATTTCTTATGCATTTTGACATATGTAATTTTGTGGTTAATTCTTTGAAATTAATTTTCACTTGTCATTTTGTGGTAATTTTTAATTTTCTTAATTAATTATCTAATTTTTAGGTTATAGAAAGTAATTAATGTTTCATTAATTTGTTTCCTTATATTTTTAAATTTTAATACTTTTCCTTCAATATATATATATATATATATATATATATATATATATATATATATATATATATATATATATATATATATATATATATATATATATATATATATATATAATTCAAAGTTGACATGTTTTTTTTAAAGTTTATTATCATTTTAGGCAAAATGGTTTATATAAAAAAATAATCAAACTTTGTTGCTTTTTATTGACAAACTAAAAAAATGTTATATGACCATAGTATAATTATTTTTTTGTAGTTTATTTTATTAATATAAATTGAATTTTTTATTTATTCATCATTCTGTTTGTATATATATTTTGAAATTTTATTTTAAAAAATATTTAATGTTTACACTTTGTTATTTAATGTTTTTTTTAAAAAAAAAACATATTTAAAGTTTATAGTTTCATATATAATGTTTTTAATGAACCCGTATAGTATACGGGTTTCACATCTAGTATTCTAATCAATTCGATAATTAATTACACTTCCAATTTTAAGTTTAATAGTGTGGGTTGAAGTTATCCATCACGACAAAAAGTCAAAAATTCACTCACAAAATCAAAATTAACCTTCTTTTATTTGGAAATTAAGTAAGAAAACTATATAAAAGACAAATATCTAATATATTTTACCATTTTTACACAAGCTTAAGAAAGCAGTAAACCCTACAATCTTATTGTCGCCGCCGGAAAAGAAATTATCAAACCTCACCAAAAGAATAACATCGTCGCCAGACTAGCTTGTCTTCTCCATGAACTCTTTCTCTCCCCTCCGTCGATAGCCCGAGTGATCTCCTCCGTATACTCTCTCTCTCATCTCCGAGCGGTCGCTGGAGTACTCAACACTAAACCTCGTCGTCTGCTCCGCTTATTGCGGTTTTCTCTCAAGTCTCCTCTGCCTAACTAAGTTGTATGTAGTGTCTTCCTTCTCTTTTTATCTTCCTATCTTTCTCTCTATCACTATAAATGAAAAGGATTGATTATAGGTATCTAGTAGGTGATATGAAAGTAGGTGATATGAAAAAACTAAACTGTAAATCTGCAAGACATTAAGCAAAAGATAGATATTACATTTTCTTTATTTTGAAAAGTCTAAAATATCACGTAAGTGTAACTATTATGTATTTTACTTTATTAATAACAATTCACAATAAATTAATTATGCAGTGACAGTAGATTGATATTTTTTATTTTAGATGAATTTAATATTGTTTTTACGATACAAATTTCTATGTTGGGTTTCATATAGAATATTCAGTTTTGTTGTTGGTTAAACTATATATGTTACGTGTTATTTTATAAAATTTAAATTAGTTGTTATCAAACTATACATGTCATTTGATATTCTATTTTGTTGTTTGTTAATTATTAGTTAACTTTGCTAGGAAGTATTATATAGCAACATCAAAAAAACAATTATTGTTTATGAGTTTCTAGGAAGAAAACCTCAAAAAACTACTCAAGAATGTTTTGGTTGAAAATTTCACGGTGTTCTTGAGAACCGATCTAAAACTATTCATCTTGAATTGTTATAGTTTTGAAGCAAATTAAATTCGTTTATGTAGCTCTATTTTGAAGCTTTTGATTTCGCCACCCTACTTTCAATGTCTGTGTTATGCCCCTGGTGGCATGTCAACTCATTTATCTAATGTTGAGTTTGTATTGGGTTAACGCATCTAGAGTTTAGATACTGCAAATGTGTCATGTCGTAAATGGTTGAAACACAAAATATGTGGAAAGCATGGGATTTTGGGAGGCGGAAAGGAAAAATGTAAAAAAACTAGGAGTAGTAGTTGGGGAGGTGGAGGTGGAGGAGCGAAATTCATAGTAAATATAGAAGATAATGTGGAAAAAATATGAGTTAGGGAGGTGAAGGGGTGGGGTCATGGGGAGGAGGGAGTGCCCTGGTGGGACTACAGAGTTTGTGAGAGAGAGAAAAAAAAATGAAAATGAAATCTTTATTCATACGGTCAAACAACTTAAACATTATAAAACGAATCAACCGAAAATTTCAATTTATATCTAGTTTTGGTTTTGGACCAACTCAATTTACCTAAAGAAACAAATAACTAGCATATATATAAACGTGCCATTTTCGAGTTAAAATTTTGAACCCTAACCTTCCACATTTAATTTTTGTGTCATTTCGTCTTTCGTGTCAATCCGTTTAATTAAGCATGTTGAAATCTCACACTCACACATAGTTATTTGGTGTCGAGTTCATACACTTAGTTGTTTGGTGTTGAATTCATGTCGGGTTAATGTATAGATATAGTGTGAAGGTGATAATTATTCGAATCACTCTCCTGTGCATTCTAATTTTCACACTACCAATACTAACATATTCACATTAAGATAATAATATGTTACCTTTTTTATTCACCGTGTGTTGAAAAGAATTCTCATATTATAACATGGTGTGCATGATCTAGATCTCCCTTTCCTCTCTTTCAGATCATTGGACTGACCCCTCTCAACGTTCAAATTGTGACCAGCAGCTTTTCACTTACTCCTTACTCTGTAACTCTTCACTAAGCAAACCGTTTTAACATCTTCCATAATAGTAGTACGTATACCACAAATTAACGAATTTGCAATATTAAACAAAAACTCGAGACAATTAAAACTATTACACACAATCTACACGAGATGTCACTAAACCCAAAATATAATCTCCCTCAAATATCGTGGCATAGATTATCATCTAGGGAGCTATCATCTTATTTTTGAGATGTCAATAAAAAATAGGGGACAAAAACCAAAACACAAAAAAACTATATACACAAGTTTTTCTTTTAAAATTTAGATTATTTTTCCATGTTAATATACCCTATATACCAAAGAAAACTAACACTTAAAACAATAAAATAAAATAACAATCATCAAATACATTTTGCAATCTATTATTTTTTGTAACGTAGTGACGTTCCTTTACAACATGATTATACTATAGAATCTGTCATTCAATATTTAACCAATATTAAAATAAAATAGTAATTAATAAACACATATTCATTATAACAAATAAGAGAAAGTTGTCTCTAGCTACTTTTAACTTTTCAGATTTCAATAGTTTTCATAATAACAAATAAGAGAAAGTTGTCTCTAGCTACTTTTAAC